TTTAACTGGAGATGCCGGGGATTGAACCTGGGACCTTCTGCATGCCAAGCAGAGGCTCTGCCACTGAGCCGCGGCCCCTCTGTACAGCTCTCCAGGGTCTCAGGCAGAGGTCTTTCCCATCACCTCCTGCCTGGCCCTTTTTAACTGGAGATGCCGGCGATTGAACCTGGGACCTTCTGCGTGCCAAGCAGAGGCTCTGCCACTGAGCCACAGCCCCTCTTTACAGCTCTCCAGGGTCTCAGGCAGAGGTCTTTCCCATCACCTCCTGCCTGGCCCTTTTTAACTGGAGATGCCGGGGATTGAACCTGGGACCTTCTGCATGCCAAGCAGAGGCTCTTCCACTGAGCCACGGCCCCTCTTTACAGCTCTCCAGGGTCTCAGGCAGAGGTCTTTCCCATCACCTCCTGCCTGGCCCTTTTTAACTGGAGATGCCGGGGATTGAACCTGGGACCTTCTGCATGCCAAGCAGAGGCTCTGCCACTGAGCCGCGGCCCCTCTGTACAGCTCAACAGGGTCTCAGACAGAGGTCTTTCCCATCACCTCCTGCCTGGCCCTTTTTAACTGGAGATGCTGGGGACTGAACCTGGGACCTGCTGCATGCCAGGCAGAGGCTCTTCCACTGAGCCACGGCCCCTCTTGACAGCTCTCCAGGGTCTCAGGCGGAGGTCTTTCCCATCCCCTCCTGCCTGGTCCTTTTTAACTGGAGATGCCAGGGATTGAACCTGGGACCTTCTGCATACCAAGGAGATGCTCTGCCACTGAGCCACAGGCCCCTCCTCTCTCCCTGAAATGTAAGATTATTTTCCCAGCCCCAATAATATGGAAGAGCAGTTAACACACTGATTTCCCCTGTGAGTAGGTCTGTGTCCTTAAGAAAACAAAAACCTTCAGAGGTTCGTGTGTGTGACTTTCCCACGGCTACACAGAGGCACGAGTGGTTCTCCTGCATGGAACCGCCCTAGACAGCCTCGGTCCACCAATCTTGACTGGCAGCTGGTCTCTGGGAACCGACGGCAGGGTCTTCCCCAGTGTCCCCACCTCTCTGCTGGAGATCCAAAGGCCAGAACCTCCTACGTGATAAGCTGAGTTTTAGCCCCTCCCAGCCGCCATCCCCGCAGGTCAAACCGGGCCTCACCTGGCCGGTAGCACCCTAACGGGGAGGAGGCTCTGTTTTCCGCCCACACCCGGGGCACCAATGGGGAAAAGGAAGAGAGAAGCAGCGTGCACGAGAGGCGAAGACCAGGGACAGGTGAGAGGTGAGCTGGACGCGAGGAGAACTTGCAACGAAAGACCGCGGCGTGCTCAGAGGGAAGCAGGAAGGTGCAGAGGTGAAAAGGTGTGAGGAAAAGCATCCGGGGAACAGCTCCAACCACCTGGCAGCTGTACTGTAGATTCCCTCGCGGAGAAGGCTTGATGGTTCCAGAGTCAAACTAGCCGTTGCAAGATTTCTACAGGGCGGGGAGGGAAAGTGCCTGTACAGGAGAAGGCGGGGCAGAAGGTTGTTACAAAGAGCGGGCATATGGGGAAGCAGAGGACGGAGGAGGAAAGCAGAAGACGGTTGTCCTTCGGGAGGCGGACGGCGAAGGAGTGGCTCAGGTTAGTGGAAGCAAAGAGACGGCGGCGGGGCGGGGAGGCAAGGCGAGGAGCCCGGCATTGGAGAGGACGTGGCAGGAGGCGGAGCGAGGAGCTGCAGGGCGAGGGGCGCTGCTCAAGACAGGTGGCCAGAGGAGGCGGGAGGAAGCGGAGAGAGCGGGACACTGCGGTGAAGACGCGGCCCCTGCAGTTCCGATGTGGCCCCTGCCGAAACCCCCTTTTTCCACCACCCGGGACAGGCCGAAGGGGACCCACAGCCCCGCACTCAAGAGGCGACAGAGACCGCTTCTTCCACAGCTGATGCGCTCAGGGGCTGGGAAGGCTTGGAGAAGTCTGTGGCCGCCGCCACGGCAGGACCAGGCCGAGAACGTTTACCTGAGAGCCCCGGACGAGATCGGTGTCGGCTCGGGGATACGTGTTAAAAGGCCGCCCGGTCTGCTGTGCCGTTTTCATGACCCCCTCGGAGACGGGGATGTTCGGGGTCCGGATGTTGGGTCCCGAAAGGGGCCGCTTTTCCCGGGGGGACTGCGGGCTGATCTCTCCCGTGTACGTCGACTTGGGTCTCCTCTCGGGGCCGTCGCCCCGGTCCCTCCTGACCACGCGGTCGGACGGCTCCTTTTCCGTC